AAAAAAGGTTCCAGTTGTATAAATATAAATAATGACTAATCTTATATGGTATCCCATTGTGTGGCCACAGCCAGGGGCCCTTCTGGCCGAGGCCAGGCAATGGTATGCGAAACATTTAAAAAAATTGAAAGCTGCTAAGGTTGGTACAAAATAACTTTGTTACAATATCCAAAACTGTCGACAAAGAAATTTGGATGCATTTTTTTTTAAAATTGCTTTGTCAATTCTGTCTTGCTCATCCAATGTGCATATACATGCCACAGTGTGCTGTCTTACTCTCACACAGTAGCCATTTTCATTTATAATAGCGTAATAGGCTATGATGGGTGTAGAAGATTTAACTGAGGATGATGGCTGAAATGCTACGAGAATAATCGTCATGAACTTCACACAACTGATGTGATGACTTTGTTTCATCTGAAAGTACAATATGAATATTACGATAAATTCTGATTACAATCTTAAAATTATTAAATAAATAATAACTATGCATGAATAGTATTTAAAATCTAACAGCAGTTTAATCTAATGACTTTGTAGGACTTTGTAGCATTACTTCTAATACATCATCAACAGGACAAACATGACTTGTGCAAAACAATGATAAACTGAAGCAAATCCAGCAAATTTAAAATACTGTGCACATGTGCAAAGCAGTGTTGTATCCAAGACATTGATGTCCGAGACCAAGACCAAGGCATACGAGACCGAGACCTACTCCTTCAAGACCAAGACCAGGACTTCGAGAGGCTGAGACTTTTGCAGGTTGAGACCGAGACCAACCATAAACTGATGTTTAGTTTTTACCAAAAGGTAAATAGGGACAAACATACGGCAGCACAATTAAGCACAAAATGAATAAAAGGAAAACATTATCATAAACTCACGCAAACAAATAGGTCAAATATTTTGTTAAAGAATGTCTCAGTTCTTTTATCAGTGATACTGCTCTTCTTTTACCCTGGTCTGGTCATTTTCAATCCGAGTATCCCAAATGATATGATGTGAACATTAAAACAAATATCCTTAAACTGTTTTTTGTAAGCAAAATACTGAAAAACAAAAAGATGTACCGTAACGAAACGACTAAAACAACATGTACCACATACAAGACGGAATGAAAGCACTTTCACACGTGCACACAATTAATAGCGTGCACACACACACACAGACTGGTTCCCGTTCCGGCCCTACGTTCAGCAGGAAACTACGTAGGGAACGGGAACCAGTCTAGTGTGCGAATTCCGCTACTCACAACCTCATCTCCATTGTGTCAAGCAGCAGGGCAACTCTGGATTGGAAATAAAGTAACAACTTGGGACAAGGTTGCATCATACTGCAATGACCAGTCTTCATTCAAGCATCTATTTCATTCTTTATTGCAAAAAATTTGAATATTACTGTGTTGTATTTATATCAGTGGTTGAAGATTTGACTTGAGCGGAGGTAATTTTGCCTTTTGCAACCACGTGCATGCGTGGTAGCTAGATGCGCATTTTGTTATGGTCTCAACTTGTCTAGAGGGGGAAACCCAAGACTGTGGCATCCGAGACCGCCACTTTCGAGACCGAGACCGGCTCTCCCAAGACAGAGACTTTGACAGGGCAAGACCGAGACCACAAAAAAAAGCTCTCGAGACCAACAACACAGGTGCAAAGGGCAATCATGTGTACAAGGCAGTGCAAGTTTAGTGTTACAACATGTGCACCAAACCTTGGTTGGGCTATATCATTGACACATACGTGTTTGTAATCTATTGCCAATTCTTACTTGATGGGGTAGAAAAGAAGGGAAGAGTGAGTCCATTACATCTATCATGTTTAAATACTTGACAAGTTCAGAGCACTGATTTGATAGTATATTCTTGTCGATATTCTGATCACGTTGCTATGCAGCCCTTCCATATTATACCGTATAACCTAATTGTTTCAAAGTGGTCCAAAGGATGAAGATGACAAATGGACCCTTAAAAACTATCAAGATACATGTAGCATACTTATGTGACATCATCATGATGTCATCAGACAACAAATTAACAGTGATTTGAGATTAAAATGAAAAAGATAAGTTTGAAATCTAAATATTGTACTGAATGAAACAATATTAGGGATTTCAAAATGTTCCAGAATAGCAGGCAGATACAAAGTACTGTAGGCAGCAGTGAGTCCCAGCCTGTATGGGGTCTAGGGCTGATGTTGCAAGAATATTTCTGCAAATTAATTCACAGAACTTGATCTCTTGTCTATGTATACATTTTCTGTGTTCCTGAAGTTAATTTGAGGTTGTATTGCTCGTACTTGAAGCGAGCATGTTTCCACAAAATTTCCTGCCACGGCAAGAGGTTTAATTATCACCCGCCCCTTAATGACATGCATCATGCATGCTTACCTCGCGATATACGGACATTGTTCGCCAGTTTCCTGTCGTAATTACCTCACTAACATTGTGCAGAGTGGTGTGAATTGCCCATAATTCTCAATAATTGTCAACTGTATATATATTTTTACATTGAGTAATGCAAGTTTTTATCACTTTTTGTGGCAATATTTGGTGGCTTTCATTCCCATTCAATCAGCACAAAAAATTGACCCTCCCCCAAAACTTTTACTGACCTACGGACCCTATTTTTGAGAGGTAATTGAAAGCAGAGCTGTTTTTTTCTTGGCCCAATGAAATTTTCAGATTTAGGATAAGTTTTGTTTGGACTTCATACAGATTCTTTCATGATGGATATACATATGAGTACGAGCATCATATGACCGTATTGTATGACACAATGTGCCATCAACTTGCACTGGGAGTTGAGCCATAAATGTAGATAGTCTGTACATTACGTGGTCCAGTCAGTGAGCCGTGTAGGCCCTATGTACATGTAGGTCACACTGCTATGCTAGGCAGGCCCAATAAAATTAAATCCACAGACTATGATTTTTTTGTGAACAAACAATACATGATTTTTACTAAAAGCAATTTATTTCCCAAGATTGGTACATGTAGCCCAAGGAAGGGTTTTTTTAATGACTGGCAAAAAGTTGCCAGCGCAAAAGTTCAAGTACCGGGTAGCTGGTCAAATTAGCCAGTTGCTGGCTTATTTTGAAACCCCTGCAATTACGTTTATCTTTACTGAGGGTAGACCTGATCTCAAATTGAGTGGATTAAATTTTCAGGTGCAAAGTCACAGCATTTGTTTTTATCAAGACTGATTTTCTTTGTTTGTACATTTGAGAAACGTAAGTGCCACAAGCATTTGTTTCATAATTGTTTTTATAACATCTACCAGGTACCGGTTTGAAATGACTTGCAAAGCACAGAACAGTACTAGCGAGGACAATTGCAGTTCCACA